ATCGCGGCGAAACACAACACAACACACTAAGAGTCGACGCGCACATCGCCGGCAGATGTAACCGTCGGCATTGTTCACACACTTGTAAGTCCACAGATCCTAGTCACTGCGCCATGATGGTTACAAGTGTTCCCTGAAGAATGCAGTGATGGGTAGGGAAACACCGGGTAACACTGAAGTCCGTTTATTATGGATGAGAGAAATACAAGTGGTGACTAGCGTGTGCCATGCATGGCTCACACAGTCAGACTGAGACTGCCTTGCCATATGGCAGCCTCGGGGCAATGTTGCCACATAACGCGTGCAGCGTTGCCACGTAATTATATATATAAATGCTACTCGGCACAGTAGCTTATTTACAAGGTTGCTACTTGGCACAGTGGCATAGATACATAACCTACAGTGTTGAAACTTGCAGCCCAAATTCAGGTTTGTCAAAGATCAAGTGGGCCAGCGGGAGTACGTCGAATATCAGAGCAGAAAAGATCTCATATATATATATATATATATATATATATATATATATATATATATATATATATATATATATATATATATATATATATATATATATATATATATATATTACAAAATGACAAAAAAAATTCACTGATAACAAAATTTAAAAAATATCTTCCCTTATGTATGGCGGATTTACCCCTGTTAGGGAGTACGATTTCGGCTCCTGGTATAGTTGAATGTTAATATTTACTTAAATAAGGTTGTAGCGGGTGGGGGGACGACAAAGTAACCAATGTTAGATAACAATCGCCAACACAACTGCCCCCCCCGCCCCACCCAAAAAAATAAAATCTAGCAGGGCACCTTAACCCAATGTAATCAAATATAATCCAACTCTTCTGGTATTTATTTTTTGTTTCAATTTAATCAACTTTTGAACGAATCGTGTCACCTACAAAATGAATGACTTTCTAGCCATCTTGTTCCTGATAATGTTTTAGGTCACCATTTTTCAGGACGAGGAAGTACCATGCGTAAGGTGAAAGTTTATATAGCCTTGTCGGGTACTTAATGCTCATACCTGTAACGGCATCCTCATAAATGAGCGACTCGCATTCAGAACAGGGTACAGGCTATGCGGTATACTATGGAGGTCGAGTCCTATAAAGTGACCTTCCTACTTATTATAGACCGAGTTTACAAAATCTTGCATATGAAACACAACAATTAAGCTCGTACCCAAAATACAAAATGTCCTCCCAGAAAGCATGTGCAGTACACAACGTTGAACTAAAGTAGTACGTTATTTGTACACACCATGACAGAAACCAAATGTACCGTATACAATTATATTGCTTACCTTAAACATTCTTCTTTAATGTCCGTGTTACATGTGAATAGTATAAGGTTCATAGAGATAGATTAAGCTTGATCAGTTTGGATAGGGTGTGTTTTTTACAAGTTGCCCATAATGTTCACAACATTTTTGGGACCAGTTGTAGGTATATCCCGTCTTTTCTTACAATTTTCTAGTAATGTTTCCGTCGCAAATGATTGTTTTCGAGGAAATCACATGAATATGTTAGGTAGTCATCGAATATTTTTTAAGTCTATTGTTGATGTTACCTGCCTCCTCAGAACTGTGGGTTTGTATGTTTGTTACTAGTCTGAAGTACACATGAGCTAGTCTGACGCATGAGTGCTTGTTCCTTGGATGTTCATTGATGGATTTGTTCTCATATCAACCAATCACAGCCTGGAATAGGTTAGGTTAGTTGCTTCGATATGAGCTCGGCTGGGGGTCTTGGAGGCGGAGTCCCTCTTGGTTAGGGACAGTAGAGGAGCAACATAAGAATTCTGGACGTCCAGTTTCAGTACGAACTCTGGAAAACATCGGCAGAGTGCGAGACTCGGTGCTTTGCAGCCCAAAGAAGTCTCATCGTTGATGATCGCAAGAGTTGGGACTGTCACCAACCAATACTGTGCGAATCATGAAAGCAGATCTTAAACTCTACCCTTACATTATCCACATTGGTCACAATCTGACTGATTACGACAAGGAGAGGAGACATGCCATGCGTGAAGTATTCAATGACTGTATGGAGCGAAATCCAACATGGATCAGGAAAGCTTGGTGGACAGACAAAGCACATTTGAATGGCGTGGTGAATGGACACAACAACATCTATTGGGGAACTGAGAGACCAGAAAAGGTGACTGAAAAATCCCTGCAAGGTCCCAAGGTGACAACCTTCAATTCAATTCAATTCAATTTTTGTGTTTTGAATTCTGAGAAGGGGATGCTAGGTCCATATTGGTTTGAAGAAAACGGAGTGTAAAGTTTTAGAACGATTGGTCAATGTAAAACTTATACATTGTTTGGAACATGTGAACCACATATCACCATCCCAATGTTGGTTCCAAAAAATACACTCCACATCAAATGTACTACTAAAATTAGAATCAGAGGTGTGTCGAACAATTGCCATGGAACATCATCATCTGACAGTATTTTTCGATATAGAAATGGAGGTTTGGGATTTTAAAAAATCTAATCACTGCAGACTCTGAGGATGGATTCCCTGTTAACTTAAATTATTCCTGCCTTTCGGGTGAGGGTGCGTACCTCACTGTCCAGATCAGTTCACCAGATGCAGGTGATACCACAGGGCACAGTTTTAAGTGTGGCCCTTTTTGTCAGGGCAATTAATGGTGTCACACCCGATGTCCTCCACCAGGAGTCTCTAGCACTATATGTAGATGATTAGGAATTAGTTTTTCATCATCCCATCTGTGTGTTGCTGAGCGACAACTTCAATTAGCAGTGAATCGTGCACGTGTTCTAATGGCAGAGGAGTGTGGTTTCAGGTTATCAACTTCAAATACGGTAGATAAGCATTTTTGCCAGATCCTGGATCCCCACCCTGACCCTGACTTAACGTTATATGGTGCCCTCTTTCTGGTGTTGAAAGAGACATGCTTCTTAGGCCTGGTGGTAGATCGGAAAATGTCCTGGATTCCTTGCCTTATGTCACTTAAGACGTCTTATCTTACGACCCTCTTAAGACTGTACCATGCTATCATGGGGTTAAAACTGGCGTATGGATGTAAGTTGTACTCCTCAGCCACACTAGCCAGGCTAAAAATGGTCAATACAATACATCACGCTGGCATCCGTTTGGCCAAAGGAACCTTTAGATCCTCCCCAATAACCAGTCTTCTGGTGGATGCTGGAGTACCACCACTGGATATGCATCGGCAGTCCTTAATGTTTGCTGATGGTACAGAGTACAGCGTCTCCCTAGATCTCCAACATGGGAGGCCATATCTGATAGGTACATAGACCATAGATTTACCCTTCACCCAAGCATTCCCCGATCCTTTGGCTTTTGTGTCTGGGAGCTGGCTGACAGATTATCACTTTCCAACTCCCGGTTACCCCAGTGAAAGTGCTGACCGTGGCCCCCTGGGACCTACCGGAGGTGCACTTCTGTCGTTACTTCCCAGGGAGCAAGGCTGAAGTGATGGCCAGGATGTATTTCTAGGAACATGCAACTCAGCACAGTGGCTCAGTGCATGTTTATAGGGATGGCTCCAAATCCGATGCTGGTGATGGGTTTGGAGCCATCTTCCTTGATTTTAGCCGCAGTAGGGAACTTCCCACCTTTGCATCCATTTTTACTGAAGAACTCTCCACTATATGCCAAGCCCTTAAAGAAATCAGCACACAAAAAGCTGGGAGTTTACTAATTTTAGTTATTCCAGAGCAGCCCTGTCTTCTCTGGAATATTTTAATCCCATCCACCCACTCATTTTAGATATTTGTAATTGACTAGTGGTCCTCTGTTGGCAGGGCCATAATGTGGATTTGTGTTGGGTTCCTGCCCATGTGTCTGCACGAGGTACTCAGAGGGCTCATGAGGTGGCTAAGTCTGCTGCCTCTCGTCATGCCCCTTTATGCTCCCTTCCTCACAGAGATTTCTTCCCTGCAGTCAGGTCACCCAACTGGATCTCCTGACAGCTACTGTACAATGGGACAATTTATCCATTCCCAACAAGTTATGAGAGATTACAAAAAAGATCTATATGTGGGAATATCCTTGGATGCCCCTCTGCCCTTACCCATCTACGTATTGGACACACTCACCTTGCACACAGTTTCCTTACTATGGTCAGAAGACCACAGCCCTATTGTAATGACTGTGTGGTGCCAATGACCGAGACACTTGCTGGTAGAGTGTCCCAGTCACGGGGACTTGAGTACCGGTAGTCGTTTTCTAGCCGAATGCCGGCAGGAGGATGACTCTTTCTCCATCTCAAAGGTGCTCAGTGAGAGTTCAACACTTGGTGGTGGACTTTTTAAAATTTTAACTGCAACAGAGGTACTTCACTGTTTGTGATTTTAAATAAATAAAGAATTTTCCATTACACAATGTATTTTAATTTTGATATTTAAACTTAATAGGATTTTATTTTATTTAAAATCTATATATCAGGTTTAAATTAATAATTTCATTTTTTGGCACCAAATGGCCACAGGCTGCAATGCCAGATATTTTACCTAATCAATCAATCAATCAATAATGTCTTCTGTATATTGATGTCATCAGCAATTACTGTCTTCACAACCTCCCTATAACTCCTCCCTCTTCCCCCAAGTTTATTCCACTCCTTTCATACAGAATCTCTCACTTAGGCTGTGGTAAGCTCTTAGGTGTGTGTGTGTGTGTATAATCGTGAAGTATATCGTAAAATAATGAATGAAGAGATGCAATAAAAAAGAACATTCAAATCAGAAGACAGAAAATAGTGGTTATGCAAGATCGTGGTGCCCATTACAAAGGGTCATACAGTGATTTAGCTAAGGAGTATCAGTTGTTCAGTGATCAACACATTTTTATCATTGGCTTCCAGCTGCTGTGCTTGACATATCGTAAAGGCATTTTACTGTGCAGTATGAGGTTCTACACTGGCAGACTCATGCAAATACAGTACAGTACTGCACAGTATATCCATTTAGGTTAAGAAAAAAACACACCTTCCTTCTATATAATCCTTTATTAAGAAATGGAAAACAGGTAAAAGACTGAATAACAAATGCTCAGTGCAGTGATGTAACAATTCAGAGCTGTGGAATTAAATTGAGCCTATGAAATACATATATATATATATACAAATTTATGGGATTTGTGCTCAAATATTTGTCAAATAGGACAGAGTGGGAAGGGGTATTTTGATTTTGAAACTTGAGCATCTCAAATCATTAACTAACGCACATTTTCATTACTTAATAAGCCACATTAACACCTTTTGTGTGTATGATGCCAGTCAAAGACTGTCAGAAGTAGTACTTAATGCCATTTTACTGTATTGTTAATTTTAACATATGAACACTCAGCTGAAAGACGAAAATTGTGATGTAAAATGCAGTCAATGATCAGTTTAATTATTGTACAAGATATTCCGTAACTCCTTTTGAAATTTTTGTTTATGAATTCAGAACTACTGTACAAGTACAGTACAGTTTTTATTTTTGGACTGAATTAATCTACAAAGCACAATATGTGGTGTCACATACATATAATGTTACAATGTCAACTATCTTAGTCTTTTAGGAGTACAGTACATTACCAGAATTAGGCATAAGGTCATATAAGGCAGACTAGTTCATTATTAACATCCTTTATAAAAACCGTCTCTAAAGCTATTTCATTAATTTTACCTTTATTATTCACCAAATTATACCTAATGTACACTTGATCATGAGGAGCTCCATCACTTGGTGGTGTCTCAGATAAAAAAATTTTACATTATAAAATGAGTAGAATACCCAATTTCAGCTCAAATCGTTCATATCAGATGCTAAATGATTATACGTTGGCTTAAGAAGCATATTTGATTTCTATTATGCTGTATTTTAGATCATCTGCAGATTATCCGTTATACACGTTCCCTAACCCAAATTGTCATTGTCACTAGTACTAAGCCTACATTAAACCCTGTGTCTTGTAGAAGTGCTCTAAAATCTGATGAACATTCAGTACGGTAACAATTCAATTATATTATACTGTGCTGTGAATGACTGTAGATAATTCTTAAGCCAGTGGTATTGTTACAAAATTAGCAATAAAATGTGGTTTTACTGTTAAATGTTGAGATAAGCAAAGGCTTGTTGCTCCCAAGTTGTGCTAACTATTTTTTGTCAAAGATAAATATAGTAGCTTGAATTGATTGTGCACTTCACAACTGATTGTGGAGTTATAAAATGCATATTATTGCAATGGATAATTACTATGGTGCTAAATGATTGTGATAAAAGTTTGAGACACCAGAGTGGTCTCAGATAATCCATATAAGAGTTAAACCATTTGTGGCATTGCCAGCTGAGTCAGTAGCATGCCAGGAGTATGGCACCATGATGCTGTTACAACCCTACTACTGGTAAAGCTGACTAAGCAACTACAACACAGAAATTGTGTGTCATAGCCCCTATTAGCTGTACAGCAAGTCCTAGTGAACGCCGCCCTGAGTAATACTGGGAAATAATCTGATGTAAACTCGAAAGCCTCAAAAGACAAGAAAGAATTTGAGCACAATAACATAGTGCTTCAAACTTCATCAAACTTTAAAAAAAAAAACGAGTCCATGATTATACAGTATTTAAGAGCACACACAGAGTCTGCATTAAGGTAAAAGTTTATTTTTAATATTCAAATACAGTATTTGGGATAGTTTGAAAACTCATAGCAGTTGAATAGTGTTTAGTGTTATAAAAAGATCTGAATGGATAGACTTGATGAAATGTGAAAGAAATTTCCCAGTATTATTAAATGCTTTTAAATTGCCTATTTTAAGGAGTATTGAAATAGTGCAACACATGAAATCTCAACCCAAATTTCGTTGTGTGGCATCTGATGGAGGGGCATTTGTTGAATGATGTGTAATGTACAGTATAACTTTAAATTCTTTACATATATAAAGATTGATGCATATTCCATCATTTATGATATAATGTATTATATATACTGTATCATAATGCTAAAATTCAGTTACTGGGTTGGTCAACTCTTAGCACTTACTAATCATGTACAGTCCCCCAAAAAGTATTGTCAGATTTTCCGTTGCTACAATTTTAAATGGTACACAAAATGCTTTGATATGATCCCCAGTGCATCATCATATATTGGTACACCCGCTCACCATATCGGCAACAGTTAACATAAAATCAGTTAGCTATATATTAATGTATGTCTTATACTTGGTAGAAACGAGGCATATGTAAACAAGCTACTGACTGATGATTACATTAACACTGAAATATACTGTACTTTAAATGGAAATTTTTCGGAACATTATAACTGTGACTTGGACCGACCTCTGAATAAACATTTCACCATTATGTCGTCATACTAATGGAGTTTCATTCATACCGAGTTTCACAGTATGTCTACTGATGTTGTTCACGATATGTCTGAGAGTGAACAGCTCCAGCAATATACTGTACTGTACAATATACTGGTCAATATGGGATTTGCCATGTTACTGATATGTAAATTGCATTGGTATAACACCGATATAAGGTTTTAAACCAAGAGACATGCAGGCAACAAAACCTCCCCCCCCCCGCCCACCTATAGTAAGACATTTGTGGTTGTAAGTTTGTGTGGCACCAGTTATTTCATGGTGCCTAACCCACCATGATGCTGTGGGTTCGCTCACTCCAGTTCAAAGCTATCTTAATGTTACGTATACCCTGGTTGCGAAGGGCAATCATAGCACTTCTCACAATGTTTCCCCAATAATTCTTCGCTCTATTCGATGTAAGAGCTCATTGATGACTGTTATGGCATTGGTATCCAATTATGATATCCTCTCCAAGTTATGTAATCTAATTGTGAACCCAGGCCTCGGAGGATACCACATCATTTGAAAATGTAAACTGTATGTCCGTACCCCCCCCCTCCCCCCGTATTCATGAGGTTTATGTTCTTGGAAGTTGTTGTGAAATCACAAATACTTAAATTTTAATACCTAATGGAAAAAAGAAGGTATGGTACAGTTGTGGAAATGTTTCTATGCCCCCTGTGGTAGCCCATGCCTCCAAATGGCACCATCATTGGTGGATAGGTTTGCTATAGGTCAAATAGGTTGTCTGTTTGTCACACAGGTCACCACAGGGGGTGTAGGAACACATTTCTGCAACTGTACCATAGCTGCCAAGCTTACAACTTTTGTCATAATATTTGGGATTCGAAATGATAAATGATTCAGAGATGGTGTTGATGTTTATATGGAGTTAGTTTTTGTAACACAAATTTAAAAATTTTGAAAAAAGAAAAATAGTTGTTTTCTCTACGTATAATTAAAGTCTGAGTGAATTGGAAAATTTGCAAATATGGAATTCACAAATACAGTATGGGGGGATAAGTGCACTCATTCATGCTCAAAGGTTGTGGATGTAAAACTACCATTCAATGAGAAACAGGTCGAGTAATATTGCTCGGAAAGCCTTGAATCATATAGACATAAAGACTAAGATTTTTTTTGAGGACTGTACATAAAACTTAGGTGTGTGCAGTGTGTAGTTCCAGAATGAATAGACTGTGTGGATAACTCTACGAATACAGTTGTTGCTAAATGAGTGAAACATTAAGGTGTACCAATGGTATATTATATAAAGAAGCACTGTACAGTATTTTAATATAGGGTGATATCAGACACAAATATGTAAGCAATAGATCCTATTTGGTAGAGGAAAACTAACACATGTGGAATGTATTTTGAGATTAATGAATTTTTAGTTTTAGATCCAAGAGAGGACATCTTGATCAAAATCCCATTCATATATAATACAGTAGTCCAAAACAATCTGGACTCTTGTTTTAGGGATTTTTGAATGAAAATTCACTTTATATGCACATGAGAATGTTTTAAACTACAATACTGTATTTTTAATTTTCTAACACATTCCAGTGGAGAAAGCCTCTAGAAACTACTCATTTGAGTCTTGTATTTCTTAGTTTAATTACCAATTTCCTTTGAAATGAACTGAACTGTGTCATAACATTACATCCATAGGGACTGTCCTGAGAGAGAGACATATGGATATCAATGTGCAGGCACAGAAGTCTTCATCCAGAATGTACGTAATTAATTATAAATTAGCTAATGGTATTTTTTGGGGGGGGCTCCGAATCTACCCAATTTCAGCGTACTGTACAGCGCACATTTACCATTATAAGAACTTAGTTTGTTTAAATTTTATTATATGTAAAATGAAAAAATAGAAGGTACTGTACACACAAGCATTGCAACATGCATTAACTATAGTGTATTTAAGTAAATTACAAGCTAATCTCAATCTACATTTGTATTGTATCTGTATACAGTAGTTTATCTCACACACATTCTATTTTAACATAATTAATGAACCACCAGAAAAAAGAGGATCTGCCTCTGTTAGTTTATGACAACAAATGTGTCACCCCAGAATGCTTCTACCATTATATACTGTATCTAGGGGACAAAATAGAAAGTACCTGGTAGGTCTTCTATACATCACTTTAGTACTTATCTACATATCTAAATACTGCAATGGTAAACTTCAGTACGAACAACCCTCATAAGTACCAATTTTATCCTTCACGTTTCCATTGTTAGTGTTTTTCTCACCAAATATATACAGTACAAGAAATGCTCCAGTCAGCCTCTTGAATATCCTAATGTTAAAAAAACATTATTGTCTGATATTAAGTATTTGATGTCGCCCATGAACTTTTAAAAATTTTGAGAAGCAATAATTACAGCCACCATCAGTATTGGTCAAGATTATTTATTTATACATCATGCCGAAAAATACATTTTCTGAAAGCTATGGCAAGGTTTATCACAATATGCATTTAAAAATTATTTCCATAATATTTTCAGTACTGTACAGTAAACCGCCAACATTTGCAGGAATAACTTTTAACAATTTGATTATTCATGGGTACAACCATTCATGGGCATAAGGTTTGGTTATTCATGGTTTACGGTCATGTTTTCCCAAAGTTCTGCAGGCCGCGGTTCTGCATGATGCATTGTGTTTAGTGTACACGACCATACTACATGGGATACAGCGCATCGCAGTACACTTTGTCTAAAGTGGGGTTGCTTGATCACCTTGCTAGGGGTGATAGTGTGGCGGCCGTGGGACACCATTATGGTGTTAACGAGACAACTGTGCAGTCAATCAGGAAAAATGAGGCAAATCTTAATGCAAGTATCTCTGCAAGTGCCCCAAAAGTGCTAAAGTAACTTTTCAAACCCGTGACACTAACATGAAAAAAATGGAGCATGCCCTTAATTTGTGGATAGAGGAGTAATCACAGGAAAAAGTTCCTCCCATCAGTATCATTTTCATTGGTGAGTACAGTACTGTACATAACTATTTTTTACATATATTTTATTTACTATACGTATTTAATATGTACAGTCGGTCAACAAAAAAATGTTTTGCACCCCTTGGTCTGATGGCCTCTGCAACGATCACTGACTGAGGCCATGTTAATTTGGTAAGGTTGGTATTTCTGGTTGTGTGATGCATTGTATAACCAGTATGATGTATTTTTTTGTATCACATATAGTTAATACAGAGAAATTAGCAGGAATCACCCACGTAAATGAGTGTTGTTCAGAATTCTTGGTCCGGTGTGTCATACAGTATTGTATAACACCATAAAGGTGCAGAAAAAATTTGTTGACTACATTATTACTCATAAAAGGTACCTCTTTGGGGGTGTGGATCCCCTAACCCAATTGTTTCCCATAAGGTTTAAGTTAAACATTCGCAGATTTGATATTCATGGTGTTCTTGAGAAACTTACCTCCGCAAATGTGGAGGATTTACTGTACTGTATTTTGACCACTCATCAGAACAAACATTTTGGCCTATTAATGCTCATTACCTTGTATCTTTGCAAAGCATAACAAACATTCTAGGAAAGTAGTTTTCACTTAGTTAAAAATAAGTAAAATCTACAGTAATATCGATACATTTTTAAATAAACATATTCACGAACCTTTGACAGTTAATATACAGTAATAGTTTATGTTAATTGAAAACCCATCCACTGCTGTTATTTTTACAACATTTCAGATGTATCAGTATTTATTCTTGACAAATATTTAGTAATGCTTAAGTTGTGAAAATAACCACAAATGCCCCTCCACAATAGAAATATGACTGTCAAGACTAAAGTGCTAAATGAATGACTTATACTGGCACTGACAGTGACTTCCAGCTACAAGTAGTAGTAGTACAGTAGTAGTAAATATTGAACTGTCAATACTCTTTGCTTAAGATATTTTGAAGAAATGGTTTACTACTAATCATTTACCATGTTACATTTTGATATGTTGAATACACAACTGGTGCTCTGGGAATAATGAGTATATGCATCATTACCTAATCATGACCTACAAGAAGGGATTGATAAGAACTTTGTAGATGAAAGAGAAAATCTTGAAAATCCACAGAATTTGTGGAATATATATATATATATATATATATATATATATATATATATATATATATATATATATATATATATATATATATATATATATATATATATATACTGTATGTACAAGTAATCATGTTAAAAAACTGGGAGCCTTACCCTATGAACTCACAAAATTGGACAAATTGCACAAATATATAAAGGGTATGAAAAACATTTCTTATTTTTCTTATAACATGGGTCTATCATATATGATACACTTCATTACAAAGGATCTTCCATCAGTACAGTAAGTAGCCATTGTACAAAAAAGGGAATTTTACATGTCTTAATCTCTGTTATTTCTGTTATCAAACTGTACACTATATACCAGCACTGATTAATTACATCATGTAAAAAAAATTTCCATGTTATCTGATGAGGTAACACTACACAGGTATAGTTAATGTCCTTTACTGAGGGCTTCATACCTTGTTGGAAGTTCCTTTTAAAACTTGAGAAAGTACAGTATATTAACCTTCTAAAAAGATTATACATATCTTAATGAAGTATAAATGACTGACCTCTTAGAGTTACAAAGGATAGGCTCACTTCATTACATACTGCAAGGACTGAAGCAATACATAATTTTTTTTTTTTACTTCAAAAAACCCTTCAAAAGAGTAAATTAATAATGAAAGCTTTTATAAAATTATTTAACACCTACAATGGGAATGTACTGTACAAAGATCTATAAAAATCCAATGATAAATAACTTGCATTAAAACGCAAAATAATAAGAACCATTTCTAGACAAGTTTGCAGGCTAGCCCAGAAGGATTACACAGCGCCTTATCTATTTGCATAACTCGTCAAGTGATGGTTGACCGACTTTTAACTACATCTACCAGAGTTGCATAGAACACAAAAGCACATCTTTGGTCTGGCCTGACATAATTACTTCAGGGGCGGTGTTTTAGTACAGCATTTTCCTGAAACTCTGAATAAGGTTTTACAGGGTGAGATAAGAACTCTGAAAGGCTGGTAGGGATATTTAGTAACCCAGGTGCTCTGTTGGAGAAACCTCCTCAATACATTACTATTCATCTTCCAAAAAATTGTGAAGTTGAAGAAATGTAAAAATTAATTACCTCCTCTTTTACTATTTTGTAAGCCTTACATAGCTGTGAAACTGAGTAGGGTACTGACTTACACAGCTGTCATAGTGAGTGTGACTAATTTACATAGTTGTGGAAGTGAGTACATCACTGACTTAATTAGTTGTGGAAGTGAGTAAATCACAGACTTAATTAGTTGTGGAAGTGAGTATATCACTGGCATATTTTGTAGCTGAAACTAAGTAAATAACTGATATACGCAGTTGATAAAATGAGTAGATTAATACTCTTAGGCAGCTAAGAAAATAAATAGATTTCTGACTTACACAACTGTGAAAATGATTGGTTACTGACATATACAGCTATGATAGTGAGTGGGTTACTGACCTACACAGCTATGATACTTAATCTAGGAATATATTAAATATGTGACTCCCTACCAGGAAGTGGGGCATAAACATCTACGGTGTAAAAGTCAAACTCTGCTAATCACAGTATCAGCTCCGAGAATCAAATTTATGATCTAGAGCTGTAAATATGATGAGCTTCCCACTAAATTACACAAAAAAGATCAAGAATCCTACTACCAAATTTGCAAATTTTTTTTCAGATCATTTTAGAAATTTGGTTAAATGTCATTGCCTTGTGTTCCCATATAAACAATGCTTTGAAGTTTGGATAATGTGGTGGCATTAAATTTTGACTAATTCAAAGGATAGTTTTCTTTTTTTACAGGGAGGCTGAACAAAAATTTATCATCATCTGTCTCCTGGTACAGATGTGATAAAGAGCCCCTGGTTTACCACAATATTGCCCAACCTTCTTGAATGTGACCAGATATTCGGTTGCAAGTTGACAGCAGCAACCCAGTGAAAGTTTAATGCCGTCCATGGCTCCGAATCATCAATGCGGTGAACACAGAAGCTAAGGATGCATCACTATTTCCTGTTGTGCAAAGTTCTCGTAGAGATTTGCTTTCTAATCAAATTCACTTCTTAACTAACACTGTATTATGAAAGCAAAGAACAGTATAGTAAAAACTTTTAAGATGTTCGAGTATAAAATGATACATTTATGAAAATTACTAACTATGCAAATCCAGGAAAATATAATGATCTAACCTGCTATGCTTACTATTCAGTTAATTTTTCAAAATTGGACAAACATAAATGATGACTTGATTACTGTAAGCCTTTGGTATTGCTTCAATATGTCTCCTCTTTTCTATGTGTTGTGTGTAAAGAAAAGAAAAGTCATACTGGGGATTTAGTCCATATGAGTTTTATAAAGTTAATTTTAGAGGAAGGAGCCATGGCCCCGGGTCTTGTACTTGTAGCTCCTGCTTGCAGTTCCTCCTAGTTTGGTAAGCCTGACACAACCTGCTACTGTACATATATGACATTCTCAGCAATCATATATTTATGTATGACTGTTTACATAATTTTCCAGGAATAAAAGTCTTATAGATACAGACACTATGAGACCCATTATTGCTAATCTGGTCATATATGGTGAATTACGCTGTGAAAAATCTCCTTGCTACAAGTGAAGATGATGATCACAGTATATAATATTTACTGGATACTCACACAAAATGTTAAAAATCCTACAATACTTCAAATATTCTTAGAAAGAGCATGTATGATAGGTCTATCACAGGGACTTAAGGAATACAAGAAAATGTCCAAAGTCTTTGATAAGGCAATAAACACCTATCATTGAAAGAGAAATAAAAAAGACTAGATTAACTTTAAGGAAGTTGTTGTGTTCCATTTTCCTCCTTCCAAAGTAAACATTATCACAATAGGATTCAGAAGAAACTATATCCCTATGAATTTACTTTTAACCTATGTGTTTTTTATTATTTTATATGGTGACAGCATGCCATCTGGTCTGGGTAAACATCTGGATGACTGTACATAGGCAACATGAAGAGTCATAAGGAATCAAAGGCATGAGTCTCCAAAGGTATGGAAGACAGGCACTGCAAAGAAGAACAAATAACACAACTTCCATTTAAAAAACATTATATTGCATACTAAATGCATTAATGTTTATATCAGATTAGAGCCATACTTTCTGAACTATGGCTGAAGAACATTTCATCTGGGCTTGTACTTTATTGTTCAAAATATTGCCAGAACATTACCATAATTCAGCAGCACTGTAATTTCACAATACCTCACTGTATTCACTGACTGGGCTTGGCCCAAAGAGATCCGAGTCCCTGGCTCAGTATCGGGCTGACTGCTAGAGTTCAGTAACAGGCACAGGCTTGTTGGGGGTCATTATATAAGCTGGATGATAATTATGAGTGTATGGGTGGTGGTCACACCGACTTCCTCGTCCTCCTATATGATGCCCTTTGAGAAGGCGATGTACACATGAGCCATGATGGCGATACAGCATCACTACCACCACTGCTGCTACCACCACCACAATGAAACAGACCACAAGGCCAATGACCACACCTCGTGTGGTTGCATCCATACCACATGCCAGATCATTGATTTGTGTGAAGTTTAGTGGTATACCTGCCAAGTGAGGAGGAGATGCACACTTCAAATTTGCACTCGAATTGGGAGCCAGGGTTAGCATACGAAGCCATGCAGCAGAACAGTTACATGTTATAGGGTTTCCCTCAAGATGCCAACTTGCAATTTCTGCCCAATTTGCTGCCTGTTCACTTATCTGCTGAAGGTTGTTGTTGTGAAGGTCCAGCAAACTGAGGTCTGGCAGGAAGCGAAAGGCATTTGGAGCAATGTATGTCAACAATGGATTCTGTGCGATCACCACTTGCTTAATATTCAGATTGTGTCGTAGAACATCTTTATCCAGATAGACAAGATTGGGACATCCTGATACAAAGAGAGAGTGTAAGTTACGGTTACTCCTGAATGCATCTGATGGCAGGTTAACAAAAAGGTTATGACCAATGTGCAATTCTTCTAATTTGCCGAGCGAACTCAGAGGAGCTGTTGGAACAGATTTTAGTCCACAATCTTCTAGCTTCAACTTACGTAATACAGAAAGACCTTTGAAAGAATCTTCAGTGAGACCGCCCTCCAACAATGCGCCGGCGAGGTCAAGGTCTTTCAGGGTTTTCATGGACTGAAGATCCCCTTCTTTTATTTCTGTAAAGTTATTTCCACCAAGACTGAGCTCTGCCAAGTCTGATACAAGGGCAAGGTTTTTAGCTGGTATTACAGTTAATCGGTTGTCTCGGAGGTGTAAAATTCGCAAGTTGGATAATCCCACCAGTGCTTGATCATGCAGTTTCTCTATTTGGTTTTCAGAAAGGTCAAGATCTCTCAGATGCTTCAAGTGCACGAAGACTCCTCCATCTAGTGACTTGATAACATTGCCACGTAAAGACAGAACCTGAGAAGAAAAACAAAAACATTAACAGGATTCAAAGAAAATGATATTACAACAATTCCTAACACCAAGTTTTTACAAACTACAGTACTTAGAAGAACAAAGCTTATGGTACATAGCTAAGTAAAAATAAATATATAGTACTGTTCTACTTAAATGTGATGCTTTTCTAAGATTGCAAAAACAAATATTAATATGGAGTAGTGCTAGAAATATAAAGCTGTTAAAAATATACTACTTTTAAGGTATCAACTTTGCTCACAATGAGATTGTAGAGTCCATTGAACATGGTATCTGTAACATTAGTGATGTTGTTTTGTGCCAGGTGGAGTTCCTCTAGATGCAACTGATTCTCAAAGGTGTTGGGCTCCACTTGCATGATCATATTTTTGCTGAAAACCACAAACATATATTAAAAATAATACATAATATATTTACTCAAGGTTTTTCTCACTAAATGAAAGGTGGCCAGAAACAAGATCACACACACACATATTTACCCTTCATTCACTGTTATTCCTTCATTCTCACTGTAGTTATAATAAAAAAATAAAGAAAAAAAAATTGTGCTGTCCAGATTCACAGAAAATGTGTGGATCACTGGTAACCAAAAATGGGATGTGAAATAATACTGTACAATGTTTGTTTTTTTGTTTTTTACGGGAATTAGCCCACCCGGGCACAGGTCAAACGACCCACAACGGAGCCTGGGGGGCGGAAAAAAAGAACGGAAAGAAATTGTAAATATAGAAAAAAAGGTTATACTGTATTAATCTACACCACGAAGATGTCAGAAAACCAGCTTTTTAAATTGAGACAGATTCTAAGAGCATGAAAACACAGAAGAAGGCAGAGCATCCCACAGTTTGGCTGTGTGAGGAAAGGAGGTACTATAACGGGTTATTCTCGTGTGACCGACATCCACAGAGAAATGGTGGGCACCACGGGCAAGACGTGTGTTACGAGCCCACGGCCTTGCCGGCGGTACACAGGATGCCAAATCCACTGAACATTGCCCGTTAAAGTACCTGTAAAAGAGAGAGAGTGAAGCAACATTGCGACGAAGAGAAAGGGAAGAGAGATTGTCGACTAAAGGAGGAGAGTTAATAAGACGAAATGCCTTTGATTCCACCCTATCTAATAGTTGGACAGAAGAAGAGACACCCCAGATATGAGAGCAGTACTCCAAGTTAGGACGAATGAATCCCTTATATACTTGGAGCAACTGCGGCATCTGTACAGCATTCCCAACTTTCGGGAGGCAGCTTTAGTTATACTAAGGATGTGTGATTTCCAGGACATATTGAAGGAAATGGTGAGGCCTAACATATTTATTTCAGAATTTGGGAGGATGATAGCGTCCTGAAATGTAATTGGTGGGAGATCATCTAATTTACAAGGTGTAAATGGTAAATATTGAGTTTTGTTACTATTGAGCTTAACCAAGTTTGTATCTCCCCATTCAGAGATGCTGCACAGATCCGCGTTGATAGAAGTAATGATATCAGTTCTAGAAACAGATCTAGTTTGAGAGGTAGGAGGAAGGGGAAAATGTGAGGAAGAGTGAAGAGTAGAATCATCGGCGTAAGAATGGATAGAATTAGTTGTAGTGTGAAGTAAATCATTGATAAAAAGAAGGAAGAGAGTTGGTGAAAGAACAGAACCCTGTGGGACGGCACTACTGGTAGAGAAAGAGCGAGAAATCGATCCCTCGACAACAACTGCCATGGATCAGTTCTCAAGGAAGCTAGGTATACAATGACTGGAAACAAGTGTATTGGTCAGTAGATCTTTCATTACAGCTACTTAGAGTAGTTAGGCAAAAACTGGCTAAATGACCTCGGAAGGAATATTATTTTTACATAAAATATGAAAAAGAAATTCAATTGTGATACCAAAGTTCTTGCTCAAGCTGATTATCGTCCCTGTACCATGGCTTTTCTTTTCTTTTCTATCATTTCACCACTTATCAGCTTACTGATCTGTCTGGCAGATGGTTTGGGTTTTTTACCGATACTTCGTTGTAAACTTTATTGCGCAGTGTTAATACAGACATCCCCTTATTTACAATGAGGTTATAACATGGGGTTCAATGGGATACGTTCCCAGCCAGTCGGCTACCCACATGTATCAATGAAAATAAAATCCCTGTATGTACAGTAGTTAAAACAACTACAGTATCTGCGCAGGTGGGAGTCGATATGCTCCAAAATTTTATGTGTGACCAGTGCTTGAAAGAGTGTTATCTCTGAGGAATGAACTGTCTATTTTTTACTGAAGAAAGTGACGTGAAGGCAATACATTTCAATGATGATTATTGGCTGGCCAAGTTGTCGTACATAGTATCTACTTTCAGTCACTTGAATCTGCTCAACTTTTCACTCCAGGGAAAAGGAGGTGACATTTTTTATGTTTTTGGGAAAATAGAAGCCATGAAAATGAAGATCTCCATGTGGCAGAGTAACATTAAAAGAGGTAATTTCTCAAATTTCCCACATTTGAAAAGCTTCCTCAAAGATATTGAGTGAGAAGAAAAGCAACCTAATTTGGAAGACACACTGAAGGGCATCATTTCCAAACATCTGCAGTTGCTCTCTAGCAATTATGAGGCATATTTTCCTCAGAAGGATGTACAGAAGTTGGAGAATCAGATGTGGATACTCAATCTGTTCATCACCAGCCACATAAAGCAAGCAGATGTTGGAGAATTCACATTAGTGTTGATGGAGCTTCAATATGACTTCACCCAAAAAGCATCCTTTGAAAAGTACTCCTACTATGGTGACTATTGGATTGGATTAGTAAAGTTTCCTGAATATAAATCAATTACCATGAAAGCTCTTCAACCCCTAGTGATGATGACTACTACCTTCGTATCTGAACAAGGATTTTCGACCTTGATAGAACTGAAAACCAAGAAACGAAATTCTCTTCAAAATCTTGATTCGTTGATGAGGGGTGCTTTGGAGAAGGAAATTGCATACCAATTTCAGAAGCTTGTAAAAGAAATGCAGGAACACCCTAGCCATTGATTATATCACAAGTTGAACTCTTTCAATCAGATGACTCCTCTTATAATTTTTGTTTAGATACTTCCAGACAATTCTATTCATCCTAATAATTCCCTCTAAAATTGAGAGAATTAAAAATCGATGTCGATTAACTTCTGACGATGTAAGATCCTTCCAAGGCAGAAGAATCTTGACTTTTTTTTTTGGGGGGGGGGCTAATTGTATTTGTTTTATTCTGGTGATAAAAATACATGCAAATGAAGTTATTATGTCCAAAGACATGTTTAGAGTTAGTTAATAAAGTCTGACTGATGATAAGGCCAAAGTCCTGAGAATTCAAATCCTTAAAATAATTTTCTCTTTGTTCTTGTTATTTATAAAAAGAAGAATTAATTTACTATTAAACTGTCACTGGTGTGTACTGTACAATTACATGATGGTAGTCATTAATTTTATTATTTGTTTAATTAAAAAAAAAATTAAAGATAATTAAGGACTAATTTTTGTCTTAATTTAGTTAATGTGACGCAACGGAATAGATTAAATAAAAGAATCAATTAACAAAATTATTACTTCTTTCTTTACTGAAAATTTCTATTATGTACAATACATATAAGAAAAGGATAACAGGAAATTTCTAAATTATAAGGAAGTTAAGTCGGGGCAAATGAAATTTTGTTATACTGGCTTAAGGGTGAATGGCATTAATAAAGTTTAAGAAACAATGGTATAAGGAGAAGAAGAGTAGCACCAAGCAGTCAACACTGGATTAATTTTTTTGTTGCAAAAGCAGCTTTTTCACAACAGATGGCAGCCAAGGAGGAGCACACAGCAGCCGAGGAGGAGCACACAGCAGCCGAGGAGGAGCACACTGCAGCCGAGGAGGAGCAAACAACAACGGAGGAGGAGCAAGCAGCGGCGGAGGAGCCCCAGTCAAGGCAGGAGGAGGAGGCAGAAGCAGTTTCTCAGTGACAGACCACCCTCCTCCCCTCACGCCCTCCTCCACTCCACCCTCCTTCTCCGCTCCTGCCATACTCCTCCGCTTCATTACCCACCACACACTCGCTCTGCCACCTCCGCCCATCGGTGAGTACCAATACAAACCTAGTACAGGGTAGTTGTATATGCATGCACCATTTTCATGGGGCAAAGAGAGGCTCAGGAACGTAACTCCCATATTTTATCTATTTCTTATGGGGAAAATTGACCCGTTTAACGTTGTTTCGTGTAACGTCGTGTTTTCAGGAACGTAACCCCGACGTTAAGCGAGGACTTATTGTTATGTAGCTGTTATTTTATTAAATTTTTATGACTCAGAATGGGTCTTCAAACTCCATTTTGAATGTACAACATTGCCTTTTAAATTAATGCTGAAAATCTAAGGAATCTAAGATATCTGATACAGTGATCCCTCGGTTAACGAATGCCTCTGTTAACGAAATTTTGGTTAACGAATTACCTTCCATAAGAATCTTCAATTCGGTTAACAAAATTTTTACGAAATCATGTCAACATGTTTTCGCTTGCTCGCCAGATGGAGTATGAGTCCGCCAATACAGAAATCGGATCTAGGGCTTAAATTCGTTCCCATTTGAGTAAATATCAAGAAGGTTGTACTATTCAATAATTTTCCAAGTTTTATATTAAAATTTTTAGTCATTTTAACACTTGTTTAACATGATAGCAGTACAAGAAACTAGTTTTTGGTGCACCAATCAGCCACTTGACTCACCCAGCAAGGCGTCAGTTTGTATCTCTGGTCAGTGGAGGTAACATCTTGCTTGTGGCTCTCTTGAACATAAACTATTTTTACACTTTCACAGTACAATTATTGGTCATTCTGAAATTTATTTTACATATTGAACTTAAAATTTTATGGGTGAAATGACGGCATGAAGCATGGGGTGATTTCTCTTCCACTTCCTTCTCTTCTCCCTTCTCCTCCACCCCCACTTCTAATTCCCTTCATCATCAACAACAACAACAACAACAACAACAACCAGGAGCCTTCTACATACACACCTCAAAGTAAGTGTACTTTACTGCATTTATTTTTACTTTGCATGTACAGTGAACCCTCACTTTACGCGGTCAATTGAACCCACGGCGGCCCGCGTAAAGTGAGAAACGCGTAAAGTGAACAACATAACATATGGGATTAATTGAAATAGAGACCGGGCCGACCCCCAAACTCCACTTTTTCAGACACACTACCTACGTTGTAGTAAAAATAACTTCTTAATTTTATGATGGTATGCACACACAATTAATAATTAAGAGAAATATCAATAATATTTGGTTTTTTAACACTTACATTAGTAGAAAAGATGGCTGGGCACACGGGGATGGGGGGTTGGTTCTGAGGCAGAGGGCAGATTATTGGCCCTCACCTGTATCACTTGCATCAATTGTATCACTATCCACCACAGAGGCTTGCAAGGCCTCTTTGTCAAACTCCTCAAAGTCCATATAAGTCCATATCCTCACTATCATTATCACTAACACTGACTTGGGCCGGCTGTGCTGGGTGGCGGGTGAAGAACTCGGTAATGTTTTGATGACTGGGCGACTTTGTGCGCACCCTGCTCGCGCCGCTCTCCGCGTAAAAGGGTACACACACCGAGGAAAGTGAGCACTCCGGTTTCAGCAGGGTACCGCGTAAACGTGGAAACGCATAAAGTGAAACCGCGTAAAGCGGGGGTTTACTGTAATTTTCGGTGAGCTGGAACCAATTACCCAAAATCCCCTTGAAACAATGGTTTCAGTTAGCGAAATTTTTGGTTAACGAACGACCTTCTGGAACGAATTGTGTTCTTTAATCGAGGGACCACTGTATTCTACAGTTCTATATTTCCTTCTCTTTTAAACATAATAAATAAGATTCATATACACAGTATATATATTTTTTTTAATGGAGTTAGCCCACCTGGGCATAGGACACTGACCCACATCAGGGCCTGGGGGCAAAAATAAAATTATTATTAATATAATAATAATAATAATAATAATAATAATAATAATAATAATAATAATAATATTAATAAAAATTATAATAAAAAATAAAAGTTAAATAATATTACAGAGTACCCCTGTACTGTAATAATAATAATAATACCTGTAAAAATAATAACCATAAATATAAACAAAAAAGAAGAAAGAATCGAGTGAGAAACGATATACAATATGTTCGTTGTGTTGTCAAAATAAGAGAAATAATTGAGACCCTGCAATTGTGTGTAAATGAGGCAGAAAGTCAGATCAGCAACCTGGGATTTGGCCAAACTTTTTGTGATGCCATATGGCAGCAGGGTCTACCATTAGACAACACATTATCCTTCCAATATCTTCCCAGGCGGTAGTGCCTCCCTGTTTGATAGCTGCCTACTACCTCCTATTACCTATTAAGAATTTTTCGCATTTTCAACTTTACTGTAATGATAAACACCAACCTGAGGTTAACATGACGAAGGTCCTGGTACCAGCGCAAGGAGTTGATGTCTAATGAGTGTATCTCTGTGCCATACATGGTGAGTTGCTGAAGGGCTGGGTTAAACGTGAATGGTAGAACATCTATTTTTGATGGCTTACAGCGAACAACAAGAGCCTGCAGAACAGAAGCAAATTAATGATTCAAATAACATTCAACTGTAAATGTACTTGTTATAGAGGCCAAATTTTCAATGTACAAGTTAAATTGTTGTCTGCCTTGCATAGTGAATATTAAGGAATATTACTATAATTCCCTATACCTGTACTAAACTTAAAAAAAAATACAATGAAAAATTGCCATCTTTTTAAGCAGATCGTATCCAAGCTTATCCTTTGCTATGACAAGCTGGCTTGTGGATTCAGGTATTTTTCAATACAAATCATCTTTCACACAGAGGCTGTATGCATATAGAGTTTATTGACAACCACACACACTCTACAAGACATCCCTCTTCATTTTTTCCTTCCACGTCATTTTCATCTTCCCTCCACATGATATTCTCCCTGAGTCAAAGCAGTGTTCCACTCCTCTTATGAATTTTAATCTAGACTGATTGACTGAGTGACTCACTGGGAACCTTTTGATTAACCAACATTGATGCAGCTTTTGACCAATTCTTGATCACCCTTTTCTCTCAACATGGCCCAATTCATCTCTGCACTCCAAACATGCTGTTGTTCATCTTACTGTAGACATCATTAACACAGCAGCTGTTTTTCCTTCATAGTAAAAAGTCGAACTCACTACACAAGGCAATTTTTAATTTAACTTTTGAATTAGTTGGTTACACATTAGATTCTATGCAACCATTATGATAAAATATACAGTACAGTACTGTACTGTATTTAAAAAAAAAATAAGGAATAGTCCACCTGGACTCAGGTGGGGAGTAAAAGAGGAAAAAAAAGAGTACTGTATGTTAATCTGCACCGTGAATATGCCAAAAGACCAGCTTTTTGAAGCATGACTGATTGTAAGAGGATGAAAACACAGAAAAAGGCTGTGTGACCTAAGAAAGAACTACAATAATGGGTTATTCTAGAGTACCCACTGCCTTGCCGATGGTACACAGAATGCCAAATTTACTGAACATTACCCATTAAAGTATAAAAGAGAGAGTAAAGCAACATTGTGGCAAAGAGAAGAAGAAAGATTATTGACTGTAGGAGGAGCGTTAAGAAGACGTAATGCCTTGATTCCACGCGAGCTAACTGTTGGACAGAAGAAAAACCATCCCAGATATGAGAGCAATACAACAGTATACTCCATGTTAAGAAGAATGACTCCTTTATAAACTTGAAGCAACTGCTCTGGAGTGAAGTAACTATGGCATCTGTACAGCATCCCCAGCTTTTGGGAGGCAGCTTCAGTTATGTCATAGATGTGTGGCTTCCATGACATATTATATGAAATGGTGAGGCCTAGCATATCTGTTTTAGAGTGGCAAAATGGTTGCATCTTGAAATGTGATTGGTGGGAGATCTTCTATTTTAAAAAGTATTATGGGTAAATATTGTTTTCTTATTATTGAAGTTGAACAAATTTCTACCTCCCTATTCAGAGATGCTGCACAGATCCTCATTGATAGATGAAATGATATCAGATCTAGTCTGAGAGTTGGATAAGGGAAAAAATGAGAAGAGTGAAGGTTAGAATCATCAGCATACAAATGGATAGAATTAGCTGTACTGTAGTGTGAAGTAAATCATTGATAAAAAGGAGGAAGAGAGTAGGTATATTCCTTATAATTAATTCTTTGTCAATCATATGTCGACTATACCTTAACTTCTTTACAATACACAGATATACGATTATGTTTGGTACTATAATACTTTGACTAAACCCAACTGGCCTGTTAGTCACTAGGGTCTTCAGTCACATTTTTGTTACATACAGTACTGTTGGCAGTACAGTATTGTATAATTAGTAGTTACACATAATAGTGTAACAACCTTTTCTTTTAACCAAATACCGTTGTACTTGGAGTTTTCAAACAGAAATATATACGGTAATACAAACACTGAACTGTATAGCGAGTTTTCATATTTCTACTCTATATAAAATTTCCGAGTCGTCTTCCTTCAGAGTAACTTAAAAACAACATAGTGCCCTGTTATAATTCTAGACTAGACTCTCTCATCATACACTTCATGAGATTCAAATCCTTTATAAAAAAATATTATGCTTTCATGTTATGACAAATAATGAACCACCAAATAAAATTAAATTAAGTCAATACAGTACGGTACAGCACTTCTATCTTACTTCATCATCGCAGGTACAGTTGTTGGGGCAGATAGCAGCACAAGGTGTGACCAATGACCCCACCAGCAGAAGACAGTAGAAGGCAAATGGTGGGAGCAGCATCTGGGAAACTGATACTCGAGGCCTCAGCAACTGACACGAGGTGATGGGCGCAGCAGGGCAAGAGGCAGGGGCAGTGACAAGGCAGGGGGCAGCAGGGGGACGCCGACACATCCTTTTCTGCTGGTGGGACCCCTGCTGCTGCTGCTGGTCCCTGTGGTGTGTCAAGACTATTTGGCTGTCCTGGTGTTTCTGGTGGTGGTGACTCTGCTTTGCTGGCTCCTCCCTTGTGTTGTTGTCTCTCTGATGTCTCCCCATGCTGGCCATGTTCGGCAGCTGAAATACGGAGGGAACATTAGCACACAAGCTTCCACTCCAACATGTAGATATACACGATGATGACATGGTGTAATATCCTGAGTACCCAAGAGGAACACAGGCTTGTATAATGAGATGGATCTCAAGCAGTGAAACTAACATAACTTTTCAATACATTTGCAAAGTTAAAGAGGATGATATTACATAGAATATTTTGGATATAGCGACTCTGGTAAACTTCTGCAGATCATTGTTTTAACTTGCTGAAACTGTTGGGTATCTGCTCACACAGAGGGAGCAAGGCAAGAAGAAAAGTTTTTATTGCAAGAATATTGTACGGAAGACAATATACTTCTTTCAAGTATCTCCGGATAATGGCCAGAGTTTTGTGGAAGGTTTTAGATTCCTGTGCACTGGGTCTCCACAAAGTCCTGTTACCCCTTTATGGTTTTCTTGAGTGCACAAACCAGGCGTGAATCTATTATACAGTGATATCAGCTACTTATTTACTTACGGTAGATGTAGTTCATAATTGAAGAAGTTTAATGGATTTAAGTATCAAGAGGATGGACATGAGAACTGTTCAACTCATTCTCTTGATGCAAAAATGGGATTAAATGAAGATTAGCCCTTGTTTATTTCACCTTAATGCTACCTGAGGGGGCGGGGTTAGATATGACTATTATCTCAGACTTGAAATTTGATAAAATTAAATACAGTAATTAAGTACGTCCAGAAGAACATAAAAACACCAACCAAATCGCCTTGGAAACCAATAGTTGGCGAGTACCGGTCCGACTAATTACCCAAATGTAGCCGGAATGAAGTCAAATAATGGTCCTACATGAATAAATCAGACTGCTAATCACTTCTCGACTAGTATTTGGTGTCATAAAGTAAAAAAAAAAATTGGTAAACTTAATTTAATCTGAGTTAGGTTAGGTACATGCACTCGATCTATTAACTCAGATTAAATTAAGTTTACCAATTTTTTGTGACTGACACCAAATACTAGTCGAGAAGTGATTAGCAGTCTGATTTATTCATGTAGGACCATTATTTGACTTCATTCCGGCTACATTTGGGTAATTAGTGGGACCCGGCGAGTACAGTACAGAGCATTAAACGCATTGAGAAAAATATCATTAAAATCTTCCAAGCATCGTAACAACCATTAAATACACCACAATTGAATAGTGGACCATAGATTCAGAATCGGCATGCTTAGGAGTACCTATACTGTACTGAGATTTTCAATAAAATCCAATTTTGGGCCGAAACTGCCGAAAAGTAAGCCTTAGCCATTTTTCGACCGAAATTTACTTTTCTCTTGGAACTTGAATGTAAAGGTTTTAAATGATTAAGTACTTCCAGAATAACACCAAAATTGTTTTTGTTTTCGCTGTTTATATTGTTTTCGTTGTTTATATTGTTTTCGTGGTTTTCGCTGTTTATATTGTTTTCGTGGTTTTCGCTGTTTATATTGTTTTCGTGGTTTTCGCTGTTTATATTGTTTTCGTGGTTTTCGCTGTTTATATTGTTTTTGTGGTTTATATTGTTTTCGTGGTTTTCGCTGTTTATATTGTTTTTGTGGTTTTCGCTGTTTATAGTGTTTTCGTGGTTTTCGCTGTTTATATTGTTTTCGTGGTTTTCGCTGTTTATATTGTTTTTGTGGTTTATATTTTTTTTGTGGTTTTCGCTGTTTATATTGTTTTCGTGGTTTTCGCTGTTTATATTGTTTTCGTGGTTTTCGCTGTTTATATGGTTTTCGTGGTTTTTGCTGTTTACATTGTTTTCGTGGTTTTCGCTGTTTATATTGTTTTCGTGGTTTTCGCTGTTTATATTGTTTTCGTGGTTTATATTGTTTTCGTGGTTTTTCGTTGTTTATATTGTTTCGTGGTTTCGCTGTTTATGTTGTTTTCCTGTTTTTGTGGTTTTCGCTGTTTTCGCTGTTTATATTGTTTTCGTGGTTTTCGCTGTTTATATTGTTTCGTGGTTTTCGCTGTTTATATTGTTTTGTGGTTTTCGCTGTTTTCGTGGTTTCGCTGTTTATATTGTTTTCGTGGTTTCGCTGTTTATATTGTTTCGTGGTTTTCGCTGTTTATATTGTTTTCGTGGTTTCGCTGTTTATATTTGTTTTGTGGTTTTCGTGTTTGTTGTTTTGCTGTTTATATTGTTTTCGTGGTTTTCGCTGTTTATATTGTTTCGTGGTTTTCGCTGTTTATATTTGTTTTGTGGTTTTCGCTGTTTGTTGTTTTGCTGTTTATATTGTTTTCGTGGTTTTCGCTTGTTTATATTTTTGCTGTTTATATTGTTTCGTGGTTTTCGCTGTTTATATTGTTTTGTGGTTTCGCTGTTTATATTGTTTTGTGGTTTTCGCTGTTTATATTTTGTTTTCGTGGTTTCGCTATTTATATTGTTTCGTTGTTTATATTGTTTTGGTTTTGCTGTTTATATTGTTTCGTTGTTTATATTGTTTTCGTGGTTTTCGCTGTTTATATTGTTTTCGTGGTTTCGCTGTTTATATATTGTTTTCGTGGTTTTTCGCTGTTTATATTGTTTCGTGGTTTCGCTGTTTATATTGTTTTCGTGGTTTTCGCTGTTTATATTGTTTTGTGGTTTTCGCTGTTTATATTGTTTTGTGGTTTCGCTGTTTATATTGTTTCGTGGTTTCTTTTATATTGTTTTTCGTTGTTTATATTGTTTTTTTGGTTTTGCTGTTTATATTGTTTTCGTTGTTTATATTGTTTTCGTGGTTTCGCTGTTTATATATTGTTTCGTGGTTTTCGCTGTTTATATTTTTCGTGGTTTTCGCTGTTTATATTGTTTCGTGGTTTCGCTGTTTATATTGTTTGTGGTTTTCGCTGTTTATATTGTTTTTGTGGTTTTCGCTGTTTATATTGTTTTCGTGGTTTCGCTTGTTTATATTTGTTTTTCGTGGTTTCCTTTGTTTTATATTGTTTTCGTTGTTTATATTGTTTTGTTTTTGCTGTTTATATTGTTTTCGTTGTTTATATTGTTTTCGTGGTTTCGCTGTTTATATTGTTTTTGTGGTTTTCGCTGTTTATGTTGTTTTGCTGTTTATATTGTTTTTCGTGGTTTTCGCTGTTTATATTGTTTTCGTGGTTTTCGTTGTTTATATTGTTTTCGTGGTTTTCGCTGTTTATGTTGTTTTTGTGGTTTCGCTGTTTATGTTTTTTGTTTTGCTGTTTATATTGTTTCGTGGTTTTCGCTGTTTATATTGTTTTCGTGGTTTCGTTGTTTATATTGTTTTCGTGTTTTCGCTGTTTATATTTTTTGTGGTTTTCGTTTTATTTGTTTTCGCTGTTTATATTGTTTCGTGTTTATATTGTTTTTCGTTGTTTATATTGTTTTTCGTTGTTTATTGTTTTCGTGGTTTTCGCTGTTTATTTGTTTTCGCTGTTTATATTGTTTTTTTGGTTTTGCTGTTTTATATTGTTTTCGTGGTTTCGCTGTTTATATTGTTTTCGTGGTTTCGCTGTTTTATATAAACAGCAAAACCAGAAAACAATATAAACGAAATGGTTTGTTTGGTTTTTGTTGGGGTTTGTGTTGGGTTGTGGGTTGGGGGAACAGCAAAGCAAACCTCTTAACTATGGGGCTATATAAACAGCAGCTCTGGGGTGCAGGCGGCAGGGGGCTGTGGGCTGGCGGTTTTTGCGGGGAAGGGTGGGGGTGTGGGGGGGGGGGGGGGTTTTGGGGGGGGTGTTGGGGGGGTGTTGGGGGTGTTGGGGGTGGGGGGGTGGGGGGGGTGTGGGGTTTGTTTGGGGTGGTGGTGGTGGTTTTGGGGTTGGGGGGGTTTTTTGGGGTGTTTGGTGGGGGTGGGGGGTGTTGGTGGGGTGGTGGGGGGTTTGTGTGGTGGGGGGTGTTGGGGGTGGGGGGTGGGGGTGTGGGGGGGGGTGGGGGGGGTGTTGGGGGGGGGGTGGACGTGAACGGCAGGCGAGTTTGTTTTGGCGAAAGAGAAGGGTGTGGGCGGCGAGTGTGGCCGAAAGGCTGTATGGTGGTGGGGCCATTGAGGCTGGTGAACCAGGGGTGTGGCGGAGAGAGGCGTGGGAGTATGTGAGCGTATGGCGGGGGGCCTGGGGGCGGTGTGGGGGGAAACGAAGTTGGCTATGGCGAAAACATTATGGGGGGGGGGTGGGGGGGGGGCATATAAACAGCAAAAACCACGAAAACAATATAAACAGCAAAAACCACAAAAACATAAACAGCGAAAACCACGAAAACAATATAAACAACGAAAACAATATAAACAGCGAAAACCACGAAAACAATATAAACAGCGAAACACGAAAACAATATAAACAGCAAAACCACGAAACCATATAAACAGCGAAACCACGAAAACAATATAAGCGAAACCACAACAATATAAACCACAAAAACAATATAAACAGCGAAAACCACGAAAACAATATAAACAGCGAAAACCACGAAAACAATATAAACAGCGAAAACCACGAAAACAATATAAACAGCGAAAAACACGAAAACAATATAAACAGCAAAACCACGAAAACCATATAAACAGCGAAAACCACGAAACAATATAAACAGCGAAAACCACAAAAACAATATAAACCACAAAAACAATATAAACAGCGAAAACCACGAAACAATATAAACAGCGAAAACCACGAAAACAATATAAACAGCGAAAACCACGAAAACAATATAAACAGAAAACCACACAAAACATAAACAGCGAAAACCACAAAAACAATATAAACAACGAAAACAATATAAACAGCGAAAACCACGAAAACAATATAAACAACGAAAACAATATAAACAACGAAAACAATATAAACAGCGAAAACATCAACAATTTTGGTGTTATTCTGGAAGTACTTAATCATTTAAAACCTTTACATTCAAGTTCCAAGAGAAAAGTAAATTTCGGTCGAAAAATGGCTAAGGCTTACTTTTCGGCAGTTTCGGCCCAAAATTGGATTTTATTGAAAATCTCAGTACAGTATAGGTACTCCTAAGCATGCCGATTCTGAATCTATGGTCCACTATTCAATACAGACAACCCAACTGTAACCAACGATGGCCACAACAACCAAAAGGGAGGGAGGGAGGGGAGGGAGGACAGTGAATTGTTAATATAGGTTGTAGGAGCCGCCAGCGTCAACCTCAGGAAGCTGGTGAGCTGTCCACACTCAACCGTCCACAAAAGTTGACTGAACCACACTTCCACTTTTCTCCGGACATCACCACAATCAATTTTAAATGTAACTAACATTTGACATATACGAATAATTCATTGGCTATAATGTTTTGTGTGTGTAAGTGTTCTAGGTTACGTTTGACTGTAATAAAGCCGTGAATGGCAGCAAGACACTGAGTTATGTTGTCACACAGTTATTACACATCTCGCTGACAGTATTAATCGTCACTACCCACATCCTCCACCAATACCATCACCACCTCCTCACCTCCGGCCGATAAAAGATCAAATTCGACTAACACAGAGGAATGGATCACTGACAGCGAGGAAGGAGGATTTAATCTTACAAATGGAACGCTAAATGACAATCAAGGTTCTCCCTACGCGGGGCTTGGAAGCTTCCGTCAGCCAGGCCATGGTTGGATGTTGTGAGTGACGCCATGTGTGGAAGGAGATCGGGGAGTCTTACAGGTTTGGTAAGAGGTAGTTTGGTAAGAGGTAAGTTTGGTTAAGGTAAGTTTGGTTATGGTGAGTTTGGTTAAGGTAAGTTTGGTTACGTTTGCTGTGCTTAGGGTCGATGCGGGTTGGTTAGAATATCTTAACTTTATAAGAAAGATAAATATTTAATAAACAATAAATAAACACACATCCCAAGGTTATTTTCAGACAATTATAATAGCAATCACTCGTACTGGAGGGTGGCTGGCACTAAGGCCACCTAGGCGTGAATTTGTTACTTTACGGAGTTGAAACTGTCGCCAACACAACAACCACATTCCTGTACCGATTACAGTGTTTAAACGAGCTTCCACAACTAATTTTCTTTCTTGCTCAATAGGGGTATAAGGAAACCCGTTTTCTATGCTTAATAAACATGATTACCCTGGAGAAAAATACACACACACACACACACACAGGGTGCCTCATCGCTACAAGGCACCCTGGACAGGCTACAGGCATGGACTACGGAGAACAAGGTCACCATCAACCACACCAAAACCGTAGTCATGCACTTCAATACCGCCACCACTCCAGTGCAAGCCCCAGCGGTCACAGTGGGTGCCCATCCTCTCCAGCTGGTGCAGTCCGCCAAACTCCTGGGTGTAACTATAGACAACAAATTTGACAGGAAGGCCCATGTAAATAACACAGTCAAGGCAGCCTCGTACCGTCTCTACATGCTACGACGACTTAGGTCATAGGACACCCACGCCAGAGCTGAAGACCATCTACAACGCCTTTATTCTCCCCAAACTAACAAAAGCGTCACCAGCCTGGTCGTCTTCTCTCAACTCCACCCAACAACGTCAGCTAGAGAAGGTACAGAAAAGGGCCTGCAGAATCACGCTCGGTGCAGAATACTCCGGCTACACCAACCCTCTCTCCACCCTGGAAATGCCATCCCTGGAAAGGTTTGGCAGCGGACTACTGCACCACCCTCGTCATTGCCACCTCCTGCAGCCCCCCACCCAACTCGCGCAGTCCACCACTACAACAAAATACAGCCCATAAGAGCCCGCACCGATAGATATAAGAACAGCACCATCCCATCTATTGTTAAAATAATAAACAACTCCTGATTTAAGTACTGTACAGCCCTGTAAATGTATTCAATGCATATTATATCATTATGTCTAAATCAAATGTAAGTCTGTATATTTTCAGCCACCGGCTGCAACTCTATTAATAAACCGTTTATTATAATTATTATTATTATTATTATTATTATTATTACTACACACACACCTACCCAAAGCCATGAGACAAACAGTAATTAAATTCTTACTTGCAAAAAAAAAGGATTAATTCTAAACCAACAAAATCCGTGACTCACATAGACAGACACTGACGGACAGCCAGACAGACATATATTCAGGAAGACACTGACGCAAACATTCACAAGCAGATACGCATAACACAGACAATCACAGTCAGACATAGACAGACAGTCAGTCATTCACAAGCAGAGAGACAAAGAGATATATTACAGACATCAGACACTCGCAGGCAGACACAGAAATCACACACAGACAGATAGACATTTACAAGCAAACATAACACAGACAGACCCATAACGGACAGATACTCAAGGAGAGAGACAATTGACAGACAGACACAGACTGATACTAACAGACATTCACAGACAGACAGACTCATAATACACAGGCACACAACAGACAGATACTAGCAGGCAAACACAAGCAGATACGTAACAGACATTCACAGAAGACACTACCCTGCAGACACAACAGACAGACACGTCCTCAGCTGCTACAGATGGCTTAAAATAGCCAAGTTTTCCTGCTGTTAAGTGTTTGTGCGACAACTGCTGCCGCCACCTGTGGTAATGGCGGAAAGTTTTCCCTTCTTACCTCCCCCTGCCTCCCTTAACCCGTTCTCCTCCCTCCTCTTACACACGCACGCACGCTCGCTCACTAATTCACTCGCATTCTCACTCTCTACACGCGTCCATATTCAACCTAATGTAACATTACAGCCCCGATGATAACTCGGTCAGATCACCAAAGACTTAATAAAATTATCAAGCAAGCGACCAAGTGTTATGCTTTTCGGGTCCAGGAGCGAATCTAGGAATATAAAAAGGGAGGGAGGGGTTGGGGAGGTGGAGGGTGTGGGGGGCCAGAAGTTTTGGGTGGGAGAACATGGCGAGCAAAGCGAGTCCACCCAGCATATTGAAGCCATGTGCTCTTGATATTCGGCGATATTCTGAGGTCAATAGTCAATACTGTTTACGATACAAAAACGCCCGAGTGCAATACTGCATTAAATAAAATTATTGGAATTTTATAATAAAGCCGTACGGACCCCCCGCCCACCAGGATCCGCCCTTGGGGTCACCTGACGATTAAACACCCTGACACTAGTCTAACTAAACCTAACAACCCCAGGTAGCTTAATGGCGACTAAAAACAGATGAAATAAGCTAGGGTGCCTAATCTTCACGTGATCCTTCTTTTCTACTGTACATGCACAAAAAGAACATGTTGCTTCTGAAAATTAGTTTGTGCCTGATATTCTTTTTTTTCGCTCCTACTCTATATGTCACTTCAAAGGTGATGAAATAAACAAATGATCTTCCAAATGTCAAAATTGGAGTGGGTTGGTGAGGTGGGGGTGACGGAACGGAGGGCGAGGAGGTAAAAATAATACTCCCTCTTATTGAAAACTTAACTGGAAAAACCACATACAAGTCATTCTTAGTAAAGTCAATAAGCTGTGCGGTATCATGTATCACACTCGACAGTCACTCACTCTCACAGCAATGAAAGAAATCTATTATGATCTTGTTTACCAACACTTGATACACTGTCACACACTATAGGGGGCCTCTAGCTCTTCAAAACCCAATCCTGGTTACTGCTGCACAAAAGAGAGATGTACGGACAATGACCTACTTGAAAGAAAAAAAAAAGATCACACAAACGAATAATTTGCTAAAATGAAAATGTTAAAATTCGAGGATGATATTTCCAGTTCCGGAATAATCAGAGATGCAACTTAATGCACCAAGAACAATTATGACCACCCCCCCCACGCGCTCCTCTGAGTCCCAGACCTCCATAAAATATCAGAGTGTGAAGGTGTGGAACAACTTACCCCCACCCATCCGAGCAAAGACTACGCTCCCTTCCTTTAAATCATCTCTTAAAAAATATCTATTGTCAAAGTATTAATATTTCTTGTAATACCTGCTTTATATACCTGCTCTTATGTACCATCAAAACCATTTTATCCGAAATTATCATGTAGCTAGATAAGAAATTAACATTGCAAATAATATTTTTGCCAACTAGACATAATCCTGACAGCTCTGTCCTTCTGTTCAACCTTAATACAACCCATGTTGTACTGCTTCCCTCATTATATTTATGTTTTTCAACTCCACTGTAACCTATGTATATACTAATAATATAAATGCAAAAAAATAATAATAATAAATAAATATCGAAGTGATAACCGTGGTAACATTAGGAGATGTTCTTATTACCACCATGCTATTGTACTATTACAGATAATACTAAATGTTACATAATACTTCCTTGAGATAAATGTACAGTATATATCAGGTGCCTACAAGAGAGTTCAGGCTCTCACTGGCTCCGCCATGTTAATATTGTTATTATCGACTCTATATCTGTATTTTTCTGGCTAAATAAACTGTTTCAATCAATCAATCTTACCTTCTATATCACACCTTCCTACCGCGACGTGTACACATACATCCCTCGTCACCCATGACTTAACAGGGTGCAGGTCGGTGCAAGCAGGCTGTGGAGGTACTCGTGAGGGTCCTGCAGCAGGTTGTCGAGACAGCCCGCACTAATACAACTAGGGTGGTTCCATCTCCTACCAACCAGCCAAGCGGGACCATCGAGATAAGCCCCTATCGTCCCCCCCTTATCTCCTCCACGTAATATTAACCCACGCTCCTATAAGGCCGCGTGAGCCAACCTCCACCCACGGCTGACTCAAAATACACAAGAGGCGGACAGGTCTGGAGTTTACAGCGTCCTGTGTAAGTCGGTATTGTAAGCTGCCCCACTACACACACACACATACGGCGGCAAGGAACCCCACACACACATTTTCACCTCACAGTTATCAGTATATGACCCAACAAAGATAATACAATCTAATCGTATGATGATGATACTTTACAACCTCTTTCTACTTCTTAACAGTCTTGAATTGTATTACAGTACATCATTATACTGAAAAGTTTTAAAGTTTATAATTTATGTCTAACACCTGGATTCGATCTCAGGGAATCAAACAGCTAAATAGTAACTCTAGGACTGCCGTATTTCAAATGTTGTCACCCACAGGTATATTGCTTGAATTTTCGGACAGAACGTCTTCCAGTGGCTGGTCATTCAAGACGACCTCTGCTCTCCCCTCTCAGACGCATGGCCTGAGTGTATGTAAGGTCAACAACACGACCCGGGTGTTGGGTGCAGGAGAGGACCCATCACGTCCACCGCCCAGGGAACGGAACTTGACCTTATCTGAGAAGGAGGTTGACTCCCGTTTGTGTGTGTGTGTGTGTGTGTGTGTATGTGTTTTGACCAGCAAGAACAAGGTATACACACGTTCATATGCAAGCAAGCGCGCGTACACACACACACACACACACACACACACACACACACACACACACACACACACACACACACACACACACACACACACACACACACACACACACACACACACACACAACACCAAGACACACACACAGCAGCCCAACAATTACACGAGTCACTAGCCCCCACAGGTCCAGGTCGTCTGCCGGGGAGCACTAATCTCAACAGGTATAATTCGATTATCACGTGCCACTGCCCCCCTTAATAGTGGCTTAATTTACGAAGACAAGACTCCCTCGCCTGGGAACAGATATGGCCGGGCAGGAGGGAGAGAGACAGAGATAGAGACAAGGAGGGAGAGAGAGAGATACCTGCGTTGACTGTGACTGATGGTTCCAAGTGAGTGGCGATACAGTCAAAAGTCTCCTGGGATTAGGGGAAGAGAAAGGGATAGAGAGAAATTGTTGGGTGTATATAACTGGAGATGCACTTAATATTTCCTGTCCAGGCAAGAGACAGAGAGAGGAAGAGAGATACAGGTACAATACCTATGCTGTCTGTGTGTGGGCAGCTCTGTCAAGTTTCATTGCAACCCTCTACGCCTTCCCCAAGTTATGGCACGGACACATTTTTGTACGGAAGGACGGGAGTAACATTTACGTCCCCATGCATAAATTACCTATGGCGTAAGCATAATAACATGTAATTTAAACCAGTGACACTTTTTTTTATCATAAGGGTCACCAGTCCACGACAGCCACTAAGCAAGGGGTCCCGCGACACCTGGAGGTCCCACTGCACCTCATCAAATAAATTAATTCAGGTGGCAGGTGATGGCCTCCTCAGGTGAGCTGGGCCACCTGTACTACGTCACCTTCATAAGGTTGACAGTTGAGTAGTTGAATGCCTGTATCTCGTCCCTACGGCTTAGGGCTCGGGGCAAGAGTCAATACCTGTTGCCTATGTGTACAGCAGGAAGGAACCGGTTACTCCAGACCTGTTGCCAGTTATTGCATAGCTGTTGCCTATGTGTATAGCAGCAGGAGCCAGTTGTGCATAGCTGTTGCCTGTGTATGGCAGCAGGAGCCAGTTATTGCATAGCAGTTGCCTGTGTATGGCAGCAGGAGCCAGTTATTGCATAGCTGTTGCCCGTGTATGGCAGCAGGAGCCAGTTATTGCATAGCTGTTGCCCATGTGTATGGCAGCAGAGCCAGTTATTGCATAGCTGTTGCCCATGTGTATGGCAGCAGGGCGGTACTGCATAGCTGTTGCCCATGTGTATGGCAGCAGGAGCCAGTTATTGCATAGCTGTTGCCAATGTGTATGGCAGCAGGAACATGTATCAAGTATAGGTGAGGTGAGATTTTTCCTTCCTCCATTCCATCTCTTCTTTTTCATTCCCACCTTCCCCTTCTCTACCCTTTTCTCCCCTCACCCTCCTCCCTTCCTTCAGTCCCTTGGTCAGTCCATAACACACACACACACACACACACACACAAATGGCTGCATCGCTGCCCTGCCCGGTATCCAGGGATAAAATCACGTTAAGCACGATCGGGTCGGGGTAAATTAAGTTAAACGTCTGGCAGTGACAGGCCGTGGATAATGCTTTTAATGACAGCCCAGAGAAAAGTCCCGCGACCTGGTAAAAGGTTCCGGGCGATCACTGCCATGGAGGGGATGACCTGCGCACTAAACCCTGTTTACTGTCGCTCCGCGCATGACGTCATCAACCACACCACACCATTAAGTTGAAGACTTGTGATATTCAACTAACTCTCCGCTGTAAATCGATATAAAAATATACTTTATTTACACATCTTCTCTGTCGTAAAGAATTCATAAAGACTTTATTAGCGAGATGATATATTTTCTGAGAATATTAAAAAGAGTAGTGGAGCAAGGAAACTAATTTACTTATTCCCACCCAACATATACAAAGTTTTCAGTTTAGGCGCGAAAGTTTGGAGCTGTCAACCCTCCGGCGTGTTCAAGTTATTACTTCATGCCAGAACTCAGCCACGCCTTCTTCATAACTAGTTTATTTCTCACATTTTCCTGACACTTCCCCCATATTACATAGTTTGGCCAATATCATCCCAGGAAAAAAATATACACAATCTTCCCGAAAAAATATCCAGTGCAAAAATAAAAACAATTAAACCCCCAAAATAAAACAATAGTTTAGAATCCAACCCATTAAAGTTTTCTCCGAGTCCTTAATACTGTACCCCGTTAAGTTAGGTTAGGTGGAGTGTGTGACAGTACCATAGACGGGTAGAAACTAGGATACGAAGTAAAAAAAGTAAATATAACATATACCCTGCCTGTCACTACCAAAGCCCAGAATGGAATGTAAGATAGTATGACCCAAGAAAGCAACAACTTATGGACAGCTGTGGTCGAAATGGCGTTAAAACTGCACTAACACTCTCCCGTAATGAGGTGCGTCTTCTCATTACCCAAGTGAGGAGAAAAGTTAACTTAAGAATCACCGAGTATCTAAGTCCAGGGTCGGGGTCCAGAGTTTAGGGTCCATATTCACTAAAAAAGAATGTACGTTAATTTTGAGTCCTAAATGTTAGTTAAGAAAATATATCTGGTTAATGTTGAGTCTCAGTGTAATTGTGATGCCATTGGAGACGTTATTTTTTTGTACCGTAACTTAAGTCTGTCAGTTAGATGGGTTTTTTTACATCTCAGTTAGGGAGAGAATTTAACTTATGGAGCCTTAAGAACATAGTACGACTCCCTGAAGCCAGAAGATGACGGCCAGACGACGGTACACAGAGAAAGAAAGAAATTGACGAAAGTTAAGCAAAAAATATTGGTGAATATAAACTCTTCCTGATTAACAAAGACAGCAACAATCAGCTGTACGGTAAATATCTTCACACACGCGCACACACACGCACACACACACACGCTCACACACACGCACGCTCTTTATCGACGACGAAAAAACAAACATGGATGACTTCTACATTGGCGCCGCTCGAGAAAAAAAAATTCCGACAATTTCGGTTTCGCGCCATGAAGCAGTAAAAGGGAAATATAGGTTCGTAGATTTTCAAAATAGTCGCCGCGTTGGCCATATTGGACCACCAGGCCAACAACATGAGTACAAATTTGACAACACTCACCGGGAGGAACTTTCAAGTAGAGTTTGAATGGAGAAATAAATGGTTAAGCTGGAAAAGTCAAACTGGGGAACTTATTATCCTATATTGTAAACATTATATTCTCGCGCCTAGAAAACCAACACAATTTTTAGTTGGTTCAGGTCCCCCGCCGGAAGACAGTTACCCCCCCCAACCACCCTGATGCAAGGTCCTCTATACAAATGAATATTATCATAACGCCGTAAAATAAAGAGAGAAAAGAGTCGAGTTATTTGAGGTCATATGTCCCATTACATATATATAAAACCATCGCTATTTCTTCGACTTCTTATGTTTACAACTTATGAACACACAGACGGAGGGAAACAACATAATGTAATCTCTAACACTAACTGTTACCTCACCACACTGTACTACACTATACTACACCACAGCGCACTCCACTACACCTCACCACACACTGCACTACACCTCACCACACACTGCACTACACCTCACTACACACTGCACTACACCTCACCACACCACCACAAACTGTACTACCCAGACACTACACCGCACCACACACTGCACTGCACCTCATCACACTACACTACACACCTCTCACCACACTACACATCACCACGCACTGCACTACACTACACCTCACACACACTGCACTACACCTCACCACACACTGCACTACACCTCACCACACACTGCACTACACCTCACCACACACACACACTATCTCACCACACTACACATCACCACACACTGCACTACACTGCACTACACCTCACACACACTGCACTACACCTCACCACACTGCACTACACCTCACCACACACTGCACTGCACCTCACCACACTACACACTATCTCCACCACACTGCACATCACCACACACTGCACTACACCTCACTACACACTGCACTACACCTCACCACACACTGCACTACACACCTCACACACTGCACTACACCTCACCACACACTGCACTGCACCACCACACTACACACCTATCTCACCACACTGCACATCACCACACACTGCACTACCTCACTACACACTGCACTACACCT